TGAAACTGCCATCCTCGCCACACCAAGCGCATACGAGGCCATTGAACACCCACGGCTGCAGTATGTTACTGGGATTTGTTTTGTAGCAACTGGACACATCCTCAAAAAGAGGCAAAGCCTGCAGTAGACCAGGGAGTGGAAGCTGTTCCCTGCTGTGACCCCCACGCACGGCTGCCTTACCCCCAGCTGCAGGAAGATGGGCTCGGTCTCTCAAAGAAACAACCCTCTGTGGCTCCGTACCCCCACAGGATCCACGCTTGTTGTCCCTGAGGTGTCAAGATAACCAAGGCCACAGGTAGTTGCAGAGCTTCAACCTCTGCTGCATGGCTCAGACCCAGCTGCGAGGAAGGCACTAGAGCAGCACACGAGCATATGCCCCCTCGCAGCAAGCACGAGGTAAGCGAACTCCTGATGGCTCTCACTGATCTAACCAGCACTCCTCCCTCTCTGAAGGCAGCTCTGCAGCCCTCTCCGATTGCTCAGCATCCCACTCATGGGAGCACTGAGTAGTCACCTCTCGACAACAGTACTGCTCAGCCACTGCCACGGGGGAGGTAGAACACAGGGCTTAAACACAAAGTAGAACCCTGTGCAGCAAGCCTCACACATCCTGTCAGCCACACTTGCACCCCATTTCCTATCCTCTTCCACTTTGACCATCTGGTGCTGATGGGCTTGTGCAGCTTGCCCCAGCCCCCGCGGTTGCACCACTGCTGCCGTGGTTAGGCTGTGCCAGGGGCACCCCGCAAGGACTGCACTCACCTGGCTAACAGAAAGCCGCAGGAAATCCAGTTGCTCTTGGCACCTCTCCATCAGGGAAACAAAGAGGGAAAGACAAGGACATGACAACAGCATTGACACAAGAAGACAAAGGAGCAGAAACCTGGTGTGCTGGGAGCTGGCAGTTGGCCTGTGCATTTGGACCAGCTCCAACTGCTTTGTGCCAGAGCTCCTGAAATCCTTCCTGGAGCAGAGGAGCATTCTGGACTCACCAGAGTGAGGGCGATGCTGGGTATACACTGTACCACCCCAGAAGTGACAGACTGGATGCCCCAAAGTGTCCCTCCATACCCTGCACACCATGCTGCCCCTCCTCTGACCAAACTCAGCAGCAAAACTAAATGCTGCCTACAGCATGCGAGTGCAGAGAGCACAGTGGGTAGGTCACCAGCGCACCGCAACCCTCGTGCGGAAGGGGCAGCATGGAACAGGTCTCCAGCAGGCAGTGAAGTCCATGGTGGCCCAAGGAGGCCATCCTACCCACTCCCCACTGACTGCAGGCAGCACGCCACCCTTCCCAGCACGGCCTCAGGGAAACAGGACCCCCCCTCCCCACCCTCCTCCTCAACCTGCTGCAGTCACGATGTGAAACATCAGCCTGTCCCCTACCCGCCATTTTCCAGCACGCACAAGGAACATTTACCATCCAAGCCCACCAAAAGAAAGATGTGCCATTTCATCACCAGTTCACGGCTGGATATCTTTAATGTTCAAGATACATCAATGGACACCTAAGGAAGAACCAGTAGCATGAACTGCCCAAACCACTCACAGAAAGGCACATGATTAGCTCAGTTTTGGTGCCTGGGTACTTCACCCCCCAGTTTCAGACACAAGCACCAGACAGGGAGCAGGAGTCAGCCCAGCCAGCTTACTGGAGCAGCTCTTCAGCTCTTCCGTGTCCCAGTGTTAGGGGGCAGAGCAATGCGGGCAGCACACCAGCCAGCCTGTTCCTCCTGCTCCGTGCTGCACCACCCCAGACCCTCTCTCTCCCAGGAAGCTGGCTTGGGGCTGGGCACAGAGCCTGCCTCTGGGAACAGCCCACAGGCCCAGCCGTCAGCACTACATAGATTTAAGATCAACCCAGAGGACACCTCACGTTCGGCAGGCCTGCCTTAAAAACCTGCAAGCCATGCACCAGGAACTAGACAGGTGCTCCCTAGTACCCATCACTTCCCATGGACATCCCTAGCTTTTCCAGTCTGGAAGAGAACACTTCCTGCCAAACTCTGCCAGAGAAGCCACCTCTGGTCTTTCAAGTGACTCGGTTTATAGCATGAAAACACATCAGCATGTGACACAGAGCCACAACTCTGGAGACTTTCACTCCGTAACCAATGCCCTTGAACACCAGGCTCCTGTTCTTCACATGCTGACGTTTCAGCACCATAATCCCACAGAGGGACAGCCTGACAACCAGAGAGGATACTGGAAAGCACTCGCTCTGCCCCTGGGCCAAATTTGTTCCAAATCTCGAGTCTGCAGCTGGAAGCAGTATGATGACTTCCAAAAAAAGGCACAAAGCTATCCTGTGCAGCATTTACCCTGTACATTACACTCCCTGCCACGCTACTGCCTCAGGCTCAGGTCAGTATCACAGAACGCCACAGCTGGAAAACACGAGACATTTGCTTTTAACATTTTTGTGTTGAGAGAAAACATAACCCAAGGTGACTGCAGTGAGAGGCGAGGGATTGGCCCCTGCACAAACCCCTGCCAGCCAGGCCCAGCAAATCCAGTGCAAAGTAACGCAGATGACGTCATTGACATAGTCAGAGTTCGATACCATGAAGCTTCGCTCACTCCATGTAGTACCAGCACAGCACAGCCAAAGCCTTCACCCACAGGAAGACAGAAGCTCTGAGAGACACAACCTTTAGTTCTTAAAACACTTCAATACTTAAATAGGCAAACAGTCTTATGTGCAAATGATGCTTAGAGGGATGTAAAACACGAGCCATGCCACTCAGTGCTCAGAAGCATGCCACTCCCAGCCACGAAGGCCTGTACAGGATGGTCTTGTGCGAAGTTCCTGGCAAGCCCCAGACAGGACAGGCGGTTCTGAACACAGAAGTGGTTCGGGCAGCACCTCCAGGCGATGTTGCATGCTGACCAGGACACGAGCCGCCACCAGCCCAGGTTTCATTATTCCAGGCTGCTGAAGCCAAGACATCCATACTTGCCACACAGCAAGGCAAGCCCTGAACAGGGACAGACAAGGGCAACGATGCAATTTGGAGACCAACACTCCTAAAATTCCCCAAATGTAGTAACATCTGTGTGTGACAGCACAGAGGTGGCAGGTCTCAGATTAACAGAAAACCAGAGAGCGCCACATCTTGACACCGGTGAGAGCAGTCCCCACAAACACACACAGCACACAACCACCACTGACAGCCATTTAATCTCTGCTGTGGCTTAGAACAGGCACGTGGCTCCCACCAAGGTCAAACAGCAGCGCCAATTGAGAGGACACGTCATCATCCACCAAGTAGAGTCCATGAACCGCATTTACCTGTCAGGCACTGTGGCTGCAGGTCGTATCAGCAGAGGGAGCACATCCCAGCCTGTCAAGCCCCTTCACCACATTTGCAAGGTCATGCTGACGGCAGGGGCACATCGCAGCCTGTGGAGCAGAGCCCACGTGTGGTATCCAGTGGTCACATGCTGTCTGCAGGTCACACTTCTGGAGGTCACGTCACAGCCATGTACTGTACCGTGTGTCTGAAGTTCACACCAGGAGAGGGGTCAGGTCACAGCTCCCAGAGCAGAGCCTGCAGACAGAGCCTGGCAGTTGTGCATCATCTTCTGAAGGTCATGCTGGTAGGAGGGACATGTCCCAGCCTGAGGAGCAGACCCTGCACACAGTACCTGCTAGTCATGTACCGTGACTGAAGGTCACACCGGCAGAGGGGCAATGTCACAGCCTAAGGAGCAGACCCTGCACATGGTGCCTACCAGCTGTGTGGCTGCAGGGGACCCCCCCAGCCAGCTGCTGTGCCCACCAGGGTTGCTCCATCCCACCGCAGCAGTGGAGCTAGGTGGGCGCACCAGTGGCTGGCCCGACCCGCCTGCGCCCCCCTGGCC